CCCCCCCCCCGAAGGCCTTAAAACACACAACTTTGCAAGCTCTCCACAATCGTTTGCCCTTTTCCTTCACCCTCTCTGCTTAGTGCGCGTTTCTGACCCACAGAGACCCTGCTGGACTGTGAAACGGGACATTGAATTTGTGGTTGGGGGGGGGGGGGGGGGGGGGTAAGCAGATTTGAGCCGTTATGCGTCAAACCGAGCGCTGTGAGGTGCGGAAAAGGATTTTTTGTGCAGTGTCACGCAGGGATCAAATCAAAAGCGCGTTTCCAGCACATACAGAATCAAATCAAATCAAATGAACAGCTGACGCAGAATCAAGCGGAATGAAATAGTTTGGAGTTTCTGTGGCTCCATCGTCTGCGCATGCGTAATTTTAAGCTCGCAATTAATTCCTAGATCTTTTGAAATATGCTCATTTCAATCATATTTATGACTCAGCTGCAGGCAGATCAGGTCAAAGCACAAAAATTAAAGTCCCGCGCGTCTGGGTCTTGATTTAGGCCTCGTGGACAGAGCAGCTCCTGTCCATGAGAGGTGGGAGGAATCTAAACACGCAGCCTCCTCTGCCTCCATCTCTGCCCCTCGTCCTTCTCCTGCTGCTCTTGAAGGCACTTGCGTGTGATGGATGAATTAAAAAGCCTTTCCATCCGGCAGCACAGGTTAAAGGCCAGTGGCAGAGCAAACACTCATAATTTTCCCTCCAAGAAGTAAAAATAAACCCGGTGAACGCCATTAATCACGCGCCAAACACGCACAAAAGCACAACCTTGGTGTATTTTCTTTCTCTCTTTCTCCCTGGGCACAGTAAAGCCATGCAGGGGCCCGGAAAAAACAAAGCAAAGAGAAAACTGAAGCTGTAGATTCAAAGGCAGGACAGCAGCGGAGGTGTAACTGGACCCGGCGGGTAACTGGAGCTGATTATTGCCTTGGTGATGGTTTCTCTGCCTGATCCAAGACCTGTTTGACCTGCAGTCTGACAACCAACCTTAGAGGGGATGCACATGCACACAAACCAACCTTAATGAGCAGCAAAACGCGCATCACAAAATAAAATTACTGTTTGGATTTGAACATTTAAACACGACCTGCCAAATATGCATGCACGGTTTGGGGAAAGTTAAATGCAAAAAAAAAAATATATATATTATATATATACAATATTTTTTTGTGTTTTTTACCACCATTTGTAGTTTTAACAAATACATTTGATTATTTGCACATGTTTTTGTTGTACAAACAACATAAAAAGATTGTTTGACAGTTCACAAAGGTTAACTGTGAATTAAACAAAACATTTATGCTTTCTGATTTACAGTATTTTTATGTTGTGATTTTACATAGTTTCTACGTAAATTCTACTGACATTTCTTACAGTGTACTAATTCTGTATTTAAAAAATAAAATAACGGAAATAAATGGTTTAAATTAGCTATAACGAAAAAATTTAGCAACCAGACCCAAATTTATGCCCAACCTTCCGGCTGAAAGTGGTTAATTATTGATAAAAGCTCAAGGTTTGAATATAAATTTATTAAAATTTAACCGTTCAGGCTCGTGCCATTTAAACGCCCAAATCCTGATTTGTGAGTCGGTTTATTAGAGCATTTGATGATTGTTTAAGCTAAAATGGTACAATTTCAGGTTAAAAACTGCAGGGAAAAAAAATCACCATTTATTAATTTCCTGTATTTAATGTTCAAAGTAAAGCAGAATCACCAGAAATCAACCTGACGCACAATTTTGTTTCAAATTTACGCACTGCTCGCTAATTATCTCCTGAAAAATCTGCATTGCAGCCTGTGGTTCGGGACATGTTGGGTCCAAACAGCATGATGCGAACCTTCCGAAACAAGAGGTGTCTTGTCTCAAATGCCCATTATGGAATATAAGAACAGAAAGTGTTTCAGAAGAGGTTCCTACCTGGGTCCCCGCAGGATAGCACATTCTTCGACACATTCAGTTCCATTCCAGCTGCCTGGAAAACACAACAAACACCAGAAGTTTAAAACAAGAAGAAATCACGACCCGGACTCTTTCTTCTCCTTCTGATAACGAGCCGTTCAGGAGGTAAACTCTGTGAGGAGTTTGGGCCGAGCAGGGTCATCCCTGAGCCTCCTCCTCTCTGCAGGAGTCTCTTTTCTGTTTCATGTCCTCAGAGCGC